CCTAGTCACGTTCCCCATCCCACGCGTGAACCTCTCACCCCGCACACGTCCTTCTGTGTGTTCGCTCACAAGAGCGACACAAAAGGGGTCTTAAGTCCAACGTGGATGAAGCGAACTTCGCAGGCTGGCGCTCTCTACATTGGGGCGTATGACAGGGCAACCGGTTCTTAATGTTAAAAAAAACATATGAAAGGAAAAGGAGAATAGTCAAATTTGGGGAGCTTAGGAAGAGACTGAGGTCACCCTATGACCCAGTGTCATTGGGTTGAGTTGGATAATCCGTATGAAAGGCCATTCCGGGGACAGGAGAATACCGTCCCCCAAAAAAGCAGTCTGAGACACAGCTTCTTCTGTAGGAACTGAGTCCACAGGCCCAGCCTGTTATGGGGTTGGCCGGTCCCGCCCTCTCCCACGAAGCCTCGAGCTTGATCTGTGAGCAAGACGGTGGTTCTCGTGGTCACACTAGTTAAGTCTCACCAAGAGTGACCAAGTCGAAGCTCGGAGGCCGCGGGAACTTCCTCCCGTACGTAGAGCGCTGTGGCAGGGAGTAGCCACGGCCTCGGGGCCGTCCTGGGGCTGGCGAGAGGAAAGCGCAGTCCAGCGACAGGGAAGGCGGTGGCACAGAGAGGCGGCGTGTGCCGTGCGCCTGCTCTGAGCACTTTGACCGCTTGCCGCCGCCCACCGTGGCCCGTTTCTCTGTGGCACAGCCATCCTTGTCGCTGGGCAAACAGCACAAAGGAAGCTCAAGACAGAGCCCTAAGCTTATGACTCAGCTTTGGGGGAAAAAAAAAAAAATCACTTAACATTTAAATGTTAGGATGCCACGTGTCCGGTCCACTTCAAGTCCGTGTTAGGATGGAAGCCAAAGTAACGTAAAGTGACAATCATAATGTGGCCTTTTAAAAACCAAAGGAGGTTTGCCTTAAAATCCATCTTGTCTAAAAGATCTCCCAATCAAACCACAGCTATGGAGAGCCAGCTACCCTGACAGCGGGGCACGGGCCAGAGACGAGGCAGCATCCTGGGCTGGTGACAAGCTCAGCCCCCACCCCCACCCCCGCACCATAATGAAGCACAGACCAGCAGGGAGCACCACGGCTCGCTCTTTGCTGGCCGGCCGCCCCCTCACGGACTGTCTGGCGGCCTTTTTTCATTTCTTGATGTGGCCTTCTGGCTATCATGCTTTGATTTATTCTCACTTATGAGAAGAATGTTACCGAGAAACATCAGCTCTAACTATGAAAAAAATCATCTTAAAAGTTTTATAAAAATCAAACTTTAACTCCTGGACAGCCCTCTTGTATTTTTTCCCCCCTAATTTTCTAAAAACAAAGACGTTTTAGAAGTCCCAAGTTTTATAAAGCAACTCCTTCAATTGTACCCTTTAGGATACAGTAGACATCCGAGTTCTTTTTGGAAAGCCGAGTAGGTCAAGAATACCTAAAATAACCTGGTTTCTATTTAAAATACCCTAATCGCTTTGTAACTTAGAAGGAGAAAAAGATTACTTGAAAGGATTATTCAAAATGGAGACGTCACCCAGCATGTATATCTCACACGGAGCTGGTGATAATTACCCTGAAGGCCAAAGAAATAGATTTCTTTGCACAGAAATGTGAAAACGTGTGAAAATATAGCCAAGTGCTGGAGAAAAAAACTCGCATACGTAGCCTCTCCTGTCTCCAAGGCAAATATGGTAACTGTGAAATAATTTGTGAACTCCAAACGGAAAAAGAAAGTTAATTTTAAAGGGACAGTTACATGCTGCAATCTCAAAATGTTTTAACCGAAGGAACTGTACAGCCAAGAGGAAATTAATTCCAGTTTCCGGAACTGTCCACTAGGAAAAGTCACCTGGCAAAAGATGAGCCACGCCTGTAGGTGGAAAGCGGATGGCAGGTCACTACCTACCAGGCCGGAAGCTGTTAGGAGGCGTTTCATTTCCAGCATTTTAAGAAGGTCACTCCAAAGTTACTAAAAACACAAATATTGTTTTATGTTTCGTTCCTGGGCGCCACAGGGAAAGGACATGATTTCGCTTTGCCAGAAATCCACTAGGTACAGGAGTCTGCATGTAGTAGGCGATGCTCTCGTGGGCAGCCAGGAAGGAGCTGAGAAGAAACAGGAGGCTTTGCCCAGGAGGCGCTTACTAGCTTTGGGGGGTGGGGGACGGGGCTGTAGTGATAAACTTCAGGGGAGGGCCCGTCCCCTCTGCGTCCCCAGTCCTTGGCTCAGAGCTTCGCATGTGCCACATGAGAGCAGTTAAATGTTTGCTGGGCTAGAACGAATGACAGCATAAGGTGAGTACAGAGAAAGAGAGAACAGTTATCAAAACAGTTTCTGGTGGAACGGGCCCCAAAAGGTACCCGAAGGATCACGGGGGCGAGAACCCCGATACACAACGCTCTCAGGCCACGGTGGCGATGCTCAGGAGCTGAACCAGGCCTCCTTCCTCGACCAGACAATCACTTACTATTCACCTAGAAACATGCGCCTCTGGGCTACACGTTGCCGGCGTCAAGCCGAAAAACCGTCCTGCTCTGGTGATGACCGTGACCACGCTAAGGGGGTTTCGCTGTTCGATTTCTCAGCGCTGCTTCCCTGTCCATATTGAAGAGTGCCACGCATCTGCCAGAACGAGGGTCTCCAGGGGGACTGGCTGCCCGCTGCCCCCCGTGTCATCCGAAACGCCCACCTTTGGTAGGTCCTTTCCTGCTCAGCACGGCCTGCTGCTCCTCGGTGATGTTCAGGCGCCGAACCACATCGGCCAGAGCCGATTTGAGCAGCTGGATGTCGTCTTCTTGCATCTGGACCCGCTGCTCCAGGGAGGCGATGCGGTCCGTCACCTCCATGCTGCTTGCAGCAGAGGCGCTGTCATCTAGGGCAGAGGAAAGGAACTGTGAGTCTGAGTGCCCCCCAGAGAGACCGGCCCAGTGGGCACCCACTGGCACGCTGCTGTGACACAATGATCGAGGACCGAAGACGACGGGTCTTCTGCGGGGTCTTTCACTTCGTAGGACACTTCATTCTACTGTCTGCCGCCTTTTCCCTCTCTCTGTCACTACGGCTCACTGTTTAACCTGTGGTTTCCACTGCCATGATAGCTTCCCACATGCGGGCCAACTTACTTTCTTTTCCACGATATCAGAGAACCTCGGAGGGGGTGTTAGGACCTGCCTAGTGCAACCTGCAAACGCTGCAGAAATCCAGAGTGGTCCTCGGCGTTTGCTCCGACGACGCTACCCGACAGGTCGGTCGGACGATCACGAGGCCGTCCCACCCGCCAGGCTAGACTCTTAAGGACTAGGAACTCTGACAAAGCAGCACAAGGGGTCGCATCCGTTTGGGGGGCACACGCCCTGACGGCCACGGCAACCGGATTTTCCTGTAGAGTCGTTGAGTCCCAATTCCTCACCGAGGTCCCCCAGGCCCTACGTGACCGTCCTTGGCTCTCGACCTCAGGCTATGTCATTCTCCCTTCACTCCCCGGCCCCCTCCCCTCCCTGCGGGCTTTGGTACCTGCTGCTGCCTTTGCTCGAGATATTCCTCAGCTAGCTTTCTGCATGACCGACATCTTCCGTTCCCCTCAAACGGGAGCCCCCCCGAGAATCCGCCTAACAGCCGCACCCAACGCGGCCGCGTTCGATGCCCCGACCTCCCTGCCCCTTTCCGCAGCGTGGCTCTGAACCGCCGCCCTCTCCCTCTGCCCATCGTCTACGTCTCCCGGCGAAACTGGAAGCACCACGGAGTAAAGTCAAGTTCGACGTTTTTTTTTTTTTGAAATTCCTACGTGCTGTGTGAATATTGTGATGCAAAAATAGGACTGAAAAATGAATTAGAAACTAGTGTTTTATTAATGATACTGGTTTTCCGAGGCTTAAAAAAATCTGGTGTATAGAATCACGCATTTCCATGATCTTTTGGGGTCACCTGACTAGACAGCAGCTTGGAGAGGGCACACGCGCTCATTAACGGGACCTGGGCACGTTGGCTGTGGTGGCCAACACGGTACTAAGGAGGAATAAGCTGGCCTCAACCGAACAACCTTGCATTTCAAATCACTATAACAACATACCAAGGAAGACTACGCAGGCCTGCTCTGCGTTCTAAAAATTTATGAGGCCAAAGAGCATCACTGTAGCCTCGGTTTGCTCTATGAATGGCTTTAGTAAAACTGCATAAGACTCTATTCTAATTATATTGCCAAGTTTGTATAGGAAAGTCTAATTTTAACATTTTACCAAAAAAAAAAACCCAAAAAACACCCAAGCCCCAAAACGAAACCCCGACCACCTCCATACCTGCCTTTGAATGACAGGTGATAAAAAGCTGCAATGTCTGATGTGCTTAAGAGAACCCCCACTTGTGAGATTCGCTCGAGTCTCCCCTACGACGCAGTCCCCAGCACTTTCCGCATCCTGCCAGCACGTGGTGTCACCTGCAGCGGACTGTCTGGCGTCTGCAGGTGGTCACTCTCCAGGAGGGAGGTGGCTTCTCGCCAGCAGTGTGAGCTGCCTGTTCTTAACCTTTTTTGAGCACAGAAAAGGCCAGGGCTGTTCAAGTGACTTTACGCTCCCGCCGGCTGGGAAGAAAGTTGATTAGCATAATGAAAAACAAAACCCAGAGCTTGGTGTAACCAACGCAAAGCAAACCGTTTCCAGCCTCTGAACATTCACGGGCTCCCCCCGGCGCGAGAGGGCGAGTTCCTCTGAATTCCGTCAAGGAAAACTTCAGTAGATCAGGAATCCAGCACGAATAACCTTAACGAGCTATTTCAGGTCATTCTCATTCCTGTACCTCTAAATTTTATCCACAGAGGTCATTAAAACAGTTTTTACCCAGAGACCCTCTTTATCGAAGTTTCACATCCTTGTCAAGTGTCACTGCACTTTGTGGCGTTAAGGGGAGGCTTGAAAAAGACAATGATCTTATATTTTTACCTTCTGGGTTTTTTAAACTTCTGTCTGAACTGGAACTACCGCCGGTGGCTGTGGCACCTGCTCATTTTCTTAGGAAGGCGTGGGGACCGACTGACACCCGATAGGCGGACTGTCCCTTTACCTTGGTTTCAGGTAACTGTCGCTCAGGGATCACGCTGCATTAACCAGTGCGATGGGCACGGGACAGACAGGACTTCATCTCAGGTGGAACCAGCCCCACAGTGGCGTGAGGCCCTTAGCGCAGGTGTCTTAGCTGGCTACCTGCCCGAGGAGACACTCTGCACCCTCTGCCAGCAGCAGACCTCCTCGGGGCTAAATTCCAGCCTCGTGGCATTTTGTCAAGGTCCCAACACGGTTCAGAAAACCAGTCCTCGGAAAGGCTGGTAACCAGTGCTACCCGCACTGGACGGCCTGGGTCCCGGGGCTTCAGAAAGAGCATTGACTGGGGATGCAGACTGGGCGGGGTTCAAGTCCTGGGTCTGCCACTTACTGGCCACATAACCTTGGCAAATGACTTGACTTGACCGCTCCGGGAGTAACGCCACCTGCCTTCTGAAGTTCTCGTGAGGATAAACGTTGATGTGCGGGAAACATCTGATACGATGATGGCAAACAGACGCTCAACACGAACGCGGCATAGTATCATTACAGTTCGCCATCCTTGATTTTACTGTTTATAACAGCAGAAAGCAAACACCGATTCTCAGTGAAATCAGCATTAACGGCAGTTATTGAGCAAATTCTGTGAGTGCTGCGTAGCGCTTGGCCCACGAGCGGCCCGGACTGCAGCACGAGGCGCCGTTTCTGCCTCTGAAGCACCTCCCGTCACGTTGAGGAAATGTGTCATTAATCTTAAGACGAAGGGCAGTTCCATGTGAACCCCCTCACACGGCAGCACGGGACCAGGGGCCAAAGGAACACCAACCACATCACATCCACGGCTCCCTCTCTGGCTTGAGTCTCCGGAGGGCCCAGCCAGATGCCGGCTTCTTTCTGAATTTAAAGTGACGTCATGGGTCCAGGTAGGACCCACGTCGCCCCTGGTGCCACGGGCAAAGAGATGACCTTGAAGCCGAGCCCTTACCCTAGATCTTCGTGTAGCTCTTGTGCCTACGACTTTTAAGTTTATTTGCTGTTTTACGATACAAAGTGGCACCGTAAGATCTTCCAGCAGCTCGTCTGTTTTATTCTATTTAAAAGGCGACAGAAGCGCACTTTCCCCTCCATTCACAGGACTGTCCCATTATCTAGAGATAAAAACACTGTTACAGAGATCACTCTGGAAATCTTCCAGCGATAAGAAGATGTTGTTGCTATCTGGGTAATGTTCCCAGGGGCCTATTAATTTTAAAAGGTTCTCTTAGAATCTGCCCCCTTATCTTGAGGTGTTCTTACTTTTTTCTCTTTAATTATTTAAAACAGCACTAAGTACCCTCTCTTCCCACCCATGACGTGTCAGACGCTAAGCATCACGGTGCATTCCCTCAGTCCATACTGCATCCTCCCATTTAGGTGGCATCCCACTTCACAGATGACACTGGAGACGCCGGGGTTCTCATCCGCCCCGTCTCAAGCAGCACAGCTGGAAAGTGACAAGCCGGGGGCAGCTGGAAAACCTCTGTAATTTCCACCTTTCCGCATTGTCCATCCAATGACAAGTATTAATTCCGGTGGGACTTGCGTGGTACCAAGTAGAATATACACAGAATTTCTGCATCATTTTGTCTTTTCCTAAATATTAGATACGTGCTATTTAGAAAAAAAATCATATTACAGGTTTTAGAATTTTAGAACCGATCGTGTAAGCAATAAAAAATAACCACCGTTCGCTCAATAATTTGCAGGTAGACACCTCATATAGAAGCTGGCTATCCGTATTATGCACTGTTTCCAAAAAAGTTATGGTACATTGTCACACTGTTAAGCATTCTAGTAGCATCTGATAGCAGCAGGACACAGAAACAGGGAGTGGGGGAAGCACTGTGCCCGCTGCTTTGCTACGGTCTGGCCTTCAGCCCGTCGGGTGTGTGGCCCGCTACACCGCCCCGGCTGAAGGGCTCCAGCTCTGCTTCTCTCCTAAGACTCCCGCTTCTCCTCTGACCGCCTGGGTCAGTCAGGAGCCCCGAGTCTGGCTCATCCCTGGGCTGGATCTGCCACTTGAGCCCCAGCTCTGAAATTCCTCACTTCACCGAAAGTTACAAGAACTGACCCCGTCCGTCAGCAATCCGGCCTCAGACGATGCTCACAAACGCACGTTCGCGCACCGGACCGTGAGAGCGCTGGCCGGCGGCCCGCGCCTGACCGAGAACGCCGCCATGCCTCCTGCCGACAGGGACCGCGCCAGAGACTCTCGAACCGGGCAAAAGTGGTGTGCAGATCTGCCGTGAGGCTCAGGCTGCGAGACGGCCGTGGAGCGGACCGGGAGGGAACACACACGGTCGCCCTAAGAGGCGACACGGCCTGTGTTCAATTTAGATGAGACGGTGGAGTTCAAAGCTAACAAATTTTCCGTTCACTTCAGTCAAACGTTACTGACCCCCTTTCTGGCCGGACCTGGGTGCCAGGCAAGGCCACGCACACCGTGACCTTCCCAACCTGAGGGCTCTCGGTCCAGCGGAGAGACTGGCCGGCGGGTAACCAACACAGACGCGTAGGAACCCAGATGACAGTGACTACGCAGTCCCCGCCCCGCCCCGATCGCGAGCCTGGCGAAGAGCCCAGCTCGACATACAACATGAGGACTAGACAAACCCAGGTCAAAGCACAGGTGAAGGAAGAAGGGCAGGATTTCAGGTGAGTCACTGGCTTTCGATGAATGACGGACGAATAAAGCAAAAGAGGAAGAATAAGAATGGTCACTTACAGGAAGAACAGCCTTGAGATCCTCCAGGTGAGTAATTAACGTGTTAATTGTCTTGAAATACACTCTAACTCTAA